GTCTGGGGAACCGTCTTCGACGATTGTCGTCATGTGGGAATGAGACAATTGATTGTGGTAAGAGTCATCGCCTGGTAGACTCTACCCATCAGTTATCCTAAAGGAATGTTAGAATATCTGGCATAGGTCAAATAGTTCAGGGACGTAGGAGTGTGACTATTGACAGGAGTAATAGCACATCGCGTGGTAGGCTATTGCTTAGGCTGTGCTATTCGTAGGAATAACGGCGCCAATCATCAGAGGTGATCATTAACCTGATGGGGTCTTGTCGCGATTGGAGCAACTGTGGGGACCTACCATCCTTCTGAAGAGGATTGGTAAGTGGATTGTGTCAGAGGTTTAATGTTAACGTGACAGGAACTGTCGTGATTGGAACGACTTTGAGGACCCACCATCCTTTAGAAGAGGATTGGTGAGTGATTTTGGCTCTGGTCCTAACTATTTGAAGGTTTGACCAAGTGGGTGTTTGATGCCGCCCACATGAGATGCTATTTTCGCCTGTTTTGAGAGATTCACCAAGACAGGGTGTTTAGCTGGTAAAGTGAATTTCGCCTAGACTGATAGGCTTGCTTGATGTGGGCGATTCGCCTGATCTGAGTGATCCGTTTGATCTGAACGATTCGCCTGATCTGAGCGATCCGCTTATACTGAGCGGTTCGTCTGTGCTGAGCGATCCGCCTGTACTGAGCGGTTCGAGAAATTGGAGCATAGGAATAGTTTTACCTCTTATACCATTTGGAGGGTGTGAGGGCCAGTTTAAACTCGTGCACTCATGGGAGTTGGTGAAGGAGAACTAGGGGTAGTACTTCTTCAGATACTTGTCGTTGATGGGCATCATGATCTTATCACCATTCGGTTTGACGAGGCGATAGGCGCTGTTCGAGTAGACTGTCTCTACTACGAATGGTCCTTCCCATTTGGACTGGAATTTCCCCTTCTTCTTGGAAGTGAGGATCATTGGTCGACGAACGGAGAGCACGAGCTCTCCCTCTTTGAAGGCTCGGCGTTTGACTTTCCTGTCGAAATTCTTGGCCATCCGAGCTTGATAAAACTCAATGTACTGCTGAGCTTCCAGTCGCTTGTCGTCCAACGCCTCGAGCTTTGCGAGTCGCAGTTGGTGATTTTCCTCGGCCGTCATCCCTGTTGCTAAGGCGACGCGGAGGGATGGAATTTGAATCTCCAATGGCAATACAGCTTCACAGCCGTATACCAATGAGTAGGGCGTGGTGCCAGTCGGTGTGCGAACCGTTGTGCGATATGCCCACAGGCTCTC